AAAAAAGTACTCCAGAGTGTTGTTCAGCATGGGGGTGAGTAGAAAATGAAGGCTAATCATGTTTTGGGTGTACTATTCCTTTAAGATAATTATACGAAGAAAACCCATTGAGAGAATACTTTGTTTGATAAAATATGTTAATTAGAATTAATCTATGAGTAAATAATTTCAGTAAAAGTTGGATTGGAACCATCAAGAGTAAATGTGAAAGTTTTTATTGTTTTTATCTCCATGGTAACGCTAGTATTAGGATTAGATTTAGGTAGAAGAGGCTGTCATTGTTCTCTCTGTAGTAAAGTTGGCTTCTGCTTTCCACAGCTACCTCCACCAACCACGCCTACTGGGAGCAGCAGCACAAGCTGCTCCTCCAAAGTTTGTCTCCGGCGCTCCTTGAGGAGTACGGCGAGGACTACATGACCGAGACCAAGGATCTCTTCCACAGCTTCAGCGAACACGCCAATCCAGACCTCAGCCCCGTCATTAACACCATCGTCAAAGCGCTACTCTCGCCGCAGCCGCAGGCTCGCTACTACGCCGGCCCTGGCATCGGATTGATGTACTTCATCCACAGCTATTGCCCGTTCAGTATCAGCAACCGCTTCCTCCAGAAACTGTTCCTGAAGAAGAGTCTGGTTCCACGAGCGCTGAGGAAGCAGTCGGGTCTGGATATGAACCTTGGCCTCCACAACAACAACAACGAGGAGAAGCTGCAGCAGTTGTAATCTCTTAATAAGAGGACGTCTATAGTACCACACTCAACAAGCCTGCCATGTTCTGTTTATCTACCTGACTGAGTCCATCCAGGTTGTTCAGGGAACAGCATAAGGTGTGCTCCGTGAACACACTGATTTCATGTGCCTTTATCAAGCAGTCAGCTGGAAACCGACCACAGCAGCAGCATCGGGTCACTGGTGGACCAAAGAGGGCGCGCTCTTCAATCAGTCATAAATTATTACCACATAACGGTGTGGAAAGCCAAGGTACCACCCGGGTTCATGCTGCGTTCTTCAGCTTGCCAGACTCCACCCGGCTGGTGTCCTTGGACACAAAATGAACGCTCCCACTCAACAAACACTCGCTGCTGAATGTCTGCCCACTGGTTTCTGTCTCATCAAGTCATGAGAGGACAGGAATACACCTCAGACCCCTAGATGTCTGCGTCACATGGAGTCATTTCAAAATAAAAGGTCCAATACAAACACAAAACAGACATTATAGTAAAACCTCAGTTCCTCCGCCTACAAACCTGCATGTTAAAGCTGCTGTAACAGTAACAGGTCTTCATTCCCAAACCTGAGGCACATATTTAGTCAGAAATATATGCATTTATTTAATCTAACATGTGCTTCAAATTTTATTTGACCCATAACCAGATCCCACCTCTGGATCAGTCAGATGGTTTCTCCCTCGTTTTGAGTCGAAATGTCGAAATGTTTGTAGCAGATTTATTGTTGAGCCAGTCTGGTACCATGTACTGGAAGTTAGAGGAGTGTGTGTGTGTGAGGGTGTGTGTGTGCGTGTGTGAGGGTGTGTGTGAGGGTGTGTGTGTGGTTGTGCGTCTGCAGATGCTCAGCAAAAACTGAGTCTGTGGAACCGTTCCATTTTATTCTGTTTTTTTTAATCCAACTATTAATGGTATATTTTTTTCTCTTATTATCACTTAAACTGTGAATTTTATACAAAAAAATGAAAAATAGTAACAAAAATGTTGTGTTCACTTTGTTTATTCTTTCATAGAAATAAAGTTGACTTTTTCAGACACTGGCTGCTCTTCTTTGTAACGACGAAGATCTGATTGGTGCTCAGTTCCAAACTGATTGTTTTAAAAATGTTAACTTTGCCATTTCTGCCCTTTTATACTGGAGTCTATCCGCCATGAAGATAGGGTAACTTTTTCTTAAAATAAGTGAATTTTTCTTGGATTTAGGAGGTAAAAGAGACATTTTGCCGATGGAACAGGACAATTTAATAAGAAAAAACAATTGCATTGTCTTATTTCAAGTGCATATTATCTAATTATCTTATTTTAAGAGTGAAAATATTCTTTCCACTGGCAAACTATCTCATTTTCCTACTCAAATTAAGGATAAATACACTAAATTTAACATATTTTTACTTATTTTTAGATCGTTTTTCCAGTGTCTAAGTCGGGTAAAACTCATTAGGTTCACAGATCATAGAACCTTGGTTGGTTTGAGCTTTAACTCAGCATGAGGAAGGTAAAGGAGGTTAGGTGTGACAACAACAGAAGCAATGGCCGATCTGATGAAGAACCAGATAAGAACGCGTCTCAGGGTTAAAAGAAAATGTCTTTCATATTATCTAAATATTTATCCGACCTTTTTCCAAGATAAAAATGTGAAAACGGTGGTTGGCACATCCAGTCCTGCAGCTATGCAAGCTCTGGATCTGTTATATACAGGTTCTTCTTAAAATATTAACATATTGTGATAAGGTTCATTATTTTCTATAATGTGATAATAAAACATTGATATATTTTAGGTTCATTGCACACTAACTGAAATATTTCAGGTCTTTTATTGTCTTCATACTAATGATTTGGCATCCAGCTCATGAAAAACCAACATTTCTATCTCACAAAATGAGCACATAATGATAAAGGTCTCTAAACGAGCTGCTATGCAGCTAATCACCTGGATCAACAAATTAACTCTAAACACCTGCAAAAGGTTCCTGAGGCTTTTAAAACTCCCAGCCTGGTTCATCACTCAGACCCCAATCATGGGTCAGACTGCCGCCCTGCCTGCTGTCCAGAAGGCATCATTGACCCCCTCAGCAAGAGGCTATGACACAGAAAGATGTTTCTGAACCAATAGGCTGTTCCCAGAGTGCTGCTGCATCGAGGCGCCTCAGTGGCAGAAAATGCTGCACAACCAGAAGAGGAGACCGGACCCTGAGGAAGATTGTGGAGAAGGTTCGATTCTAGACCTTGGGGGACCTGTAGAAGCAATGGACTGAGTCTGGGGTAGAAACATCCAGAGCCACCGTGCAGGAGATGGGCTACAGTTGCCGCATTCCCCAGGTCAAGCCACCTTTGAACCAGAAACAGCAGCAGAGACGCCTGACCTACAGAGAAGGTGCCAGAGTCTGGAGGAAGACTGGGGAGAAGGAAATGCCAGAATGCCAGAAGTTAAGAGTAGGTAGCCTCAGTCAATGATGGTCTGGGGCGCCATGTCAGCTGCTGGTGTTGGTCCACTGGGTTTTATCAAGGGCAGGGTCAGTGCAGCTATCAGGAGATTTTGGAGCGCTTCATGCTTCCATCTGCTGAAAAGCTTTATGGAGATGAAGATGCACCACCTGGCTCCTGCTCACAGAGCCAAAATCACTGGTAACTGGTTTACTGACCATGGTATCACTGGGCTCAACTGGCCTGCCATCTCTCCTGACCTGAACCCCATAGAGAATCTGAGGGATTTTATGAAGAGAAAGTTGAGAGACTCAGGACCCAACACTGTAGATGAGCTAAAGGCTAAACGCTATGGAAGCATCCTGGGCCTCCATGACACCTCAGCAGGCTGATAGCCTCCATGCCACGCCGCATTGAAGCAGCCATTTCTGCTAAAGGATTCCCACCAGGTATTGAGTGAATAACTGT